GCACAACTCTGGGTCATGTAAATAAAGAAAACAAAAATAATAACTTGTATAATTCTCCAGCCAGAGTCTGATTATAATTTGGATGAAGTACTGAGAAATATTGGGCTGTTCAGAGGCTATATTTAGCTGAATGGGATCAAATCAAATCAAAGCAGAGAATTTGAAAAGGAGCAAAAAGCTCCAGGGATTCAGTTCATTACCAGTCGCTGGACTCCAGTCCCGAACACAGCATGTCCATATTTAAATGGCTAATATCACAGACTGCTAATTGTCTGGCAACACCTATTTTCTTTAGGGGGTTGACACAGCCTGATGAATCTGCCGAACTGTTTGCAAATCCCTCATGCAGGGAATGAAAGCTGTATTCCGATGCACAGGATCCCAGGAGGGTTATGCTAAAGCTGATAAAAGCAAAATGAGAAAAAAGAAAAGGTAAATGAGAAGGCGATGTTTTGTCCGTGGGGCTTTTCCTAGTCCTCATGGAGAATGTACAACAAAGTTAGCAGTATGTGCTATTTCTAGCCTGTAGTTTATGAATAGGGCTTTCTTTCCCGCTCCTAAGTCTCCTTCATTTTGCAGTCTGCGTGCTAAAGCATCAGCAACCTTCTTCCCTTTTCACTCTGTGTGCAGACTCGGAGAAGGAGATGCAATACCAAGGCTATCAAGCAAACACAAAATTCGCACAAATGATGCAAGACACTGCTTTGGTGTTGGGCTTGTGCTTGCTCTTGCTGACAGCCGGGCTGGCTCTCAGATTTGGTTGGCCTACCTTGTGTGTCCCACGCAGGCTGTGTGGGAGGGGGTGCCTGCACGCTGCTGGGTTTCCACCTCATCCAGAAGGCTGGCACCGAATGCCCGAATATTCAGGCACATAAGTACGTGATTATAGAAATGCTGGATCGCGTGTGAGGGGATTTCTGCTAGTTTGTTTCTCAGAATTTATATTTTGCCTGCCTTTGTGTAAGATTTCAAAAGCGGTTTGGCTGAATACATGGCGTTTTTTGTTTGTTTTCTCATTGCATTGATTTTCTTTTCCAAGAGCTATTTTTTCTTTCAATAAATAACAACAAAGAAGACAGCCAAGGCCTACAATGCAGATGATCAGCAAGGATGATATTGTCATCCTGTGTCAATCGGTTCCCGAGCCTGGTGAAATAAAGAGTGCCTTTGGGAACGTCAGCGCTTCATCAAGACCAATTAGTGGAGATGCTGCTGCTTATGTTTAAGCATTAACGACTGGGCAGGGCTGCTTTTTGGAGTGCCTGACACTGGCATGGAACAAGGCACCGACCTAATTACTCCTCTACAAGAGCAGAAAATGCCTCTTGAATGCCTGCTTGGCAAGGATGTCTCATTAAGGGGAAAAAACCCAACACAAGCACTCCTAGAAACAAAAATTAAAATGATAGGTAACCTGCGGCCATGAGACTTACTTCATGGCTGTGGGAAATGAAGAGAAACTGCTCTAAGGTGACATAGGGCACATTTGTACTTTATTTCCTAAATCCACCTATTTTTTGGTCAATAAGGAGTATGAGAGACAGAATGCAAACTTGCATTGTTGGAGAACAGTGAAATATGTTGCCACCCTTGGTATCAATGATAAACAGTACTTGAAGGGCATTCCCATGCTGATGTTCGATGGGAGTTGGTTTGTTAGTCTGTTCCTTCAGGGTTTGCAAACTTGCCTCGGAAAAGAAGCATTTGGTAGCACTGAGCGAAGGGTTGGTAATGAGGAGCTTACAATATGAAGCCTTTCTTTCTGCTTAAATATGATTAAGAAGCAGACTGTGATTTCCCAGTTCAAGAGTGTTGGTTAGGGTATTTTCAGTCATAATAATTTTGTTAAAGTAAAACCAGAAGAGTGAGGGGAAACAGCTGATCAGATGTTTCTTGTCTCCTGAGCAGCTCTGTTCATTGCTGAGTTTTAGTTGCTTCTATCCTTTTTACCTTTATTTTTCTTCTCCTCTGAAGAGTGCCAGCAAATATCAGAAATTCAAACTGTATTTCTTAATTTCTTAATGTTATTACTTCTTTTCTTTGACTGGATGAGTGCATACTCCTAAATACTGAGGTCCATTATTCATCCAGGGAGTGGGTGCAGCACAGATAGTTACATGTCAGGCTTTGCCCAAAAGGCACATTTTGGACAAGTTAGCTCTGAAAAAGCATTTGCTTGGTAGTGCAGGAACAATTAAGCTTTCTAGGTAAAGAGGGATCTAGTGTTTGTGCAGATGTGCAAATGCTGTGTTTCTTGAGACGTGCCCTTTTTTAGTAGTTACCATCTTACCACAAAATGCTGAGTTGTCTAGCTGGCTTATGGATTGAATGAGCCCTCAGGATGATTATATGGCTGCCACATGATCTTGACCTGTGTATTTCTTTACTCAAGTCTGGCCCTTTACCTTACTCAGTCCTGCTTTGCCTGTTACTGCACAGAATGGTGGAGAGAAATGAGATGTTCAAGAGCTGCACAGAAGAGTACCTACTACCTGCTTAAGGCGTAGGTGGCCTGTAGCAGCACTTCTTAAGCTCTGCAACATGCTTAATGCTACTTCTTAAATGCTACAGCCTGAGTCTCTGATCCTGCCTCTCTCCAGATAGATCCTTTCTTCTCAAAAACTGGGATACAGTTTTTTTTCTTCCTTGAGTTCAATGGACAGCCCACTCACACAGCAGGTTCTAAACTCAGCTATTTCAAACCTCTCTTGCTTTCAAAGGCATATGAGCACAAGGCTTTTTTTTAAGCTGTTACCATGGCTCTAGCAGATAGCAATGCTGCAGATGCAGATTTATGGGGAGGGAAGCCATAAGGGGCTGTGCTTTCCTGGGGCATCACTTGCTTCCCTTGCCTGTGGTGCAACTGCAGCTGCACATCCCCTTCTTCCAGTGGCATGATCACCACGTGCTTGGCCTGGAGAGATCTGTGGGTCTTGGGCAGTCTTTCTTTCTGTGGCTCTCTTCCTTGCTGATCTCCAAGTGCATGGCTGCACAGTTGTGTCTTAATTTGCCCCATAGAAAATAGTCAAAATGATATTTATATCATGTGCCAACATGCTGTGAGACCTTCTCATGTAGCTGTGAAGTCTGGCAGCTTTAAGGCCAGCATCTTACAAACTCTTCTTTGGTTACACTCTTGCTTCTATTGCTGTTCTGATGAAATAATGCTGAATCATGAATAACTGTAAGTTTGTTCAAGGTAGTCAGGTTTCTCAGGGAGAAATGGAGGATCCAGTATCTACAATATACTTACCTCTGGATCTGCGTGCAGCAGCACTGACATCAGTTAAGTATTCAGCTGTTAACTCAGCTTCTTACTGTATCCGGTATCACCAGGATACCCTATAATGTAACGTAGAATAGAAGTGCACCAAAAATAAGTTATTTGTTCAGTTTTTACACTGTTCTCATTCAGCGGTAACTTCTATTGACTTCAATTGTAGTGTAGCTTCAGAAAGAAATAAAATATGAAAGACTTCAGAATTTGGCCCTGTATGTTTCCTTTAAAGCAACACTTCTGAACATAATCAAATAGGCAGGAGACAGAGAGAGATAGAAAGAGTCAGGGAAATACAAAAGGATAATTGCATTGTTGTACTAGAGCTTGATGTTAAAGGCAGATACATAGGAATTACTGTGGCAGAGCTCATTAAAAACTAATTGTCTTACGTAATAGTATTTTGTGGTTCTACAGCAGTTATCAGCTAAGGATCTTGGAGCCCTCTGCAGGCTCCACCTTATTCTGGCAATCCCTTCTGTGAGATGCTTATATTCTGTCTTTTTTCTATAGGCAAGGAAATAGAAATGGTCAGGCAAAATGACTTTTCCACAATTGTCTCTTGGGTCTGAGTTAGATCTGGGGTTAGAGCTGAGAACAGTTTGGTTTTGCTTCATCCTACTTCAACCATCATATAAACGTTCCCCTTTTCCTGCTGCTTTTCCTCCAGTCATCTTCTAGAAAAACACTGCAGTAGAAGGAAACACGTCACTCAATCACTGATGAAATTAGTGCAAAGTGGTTAGAAAACCTGTTGGAGAGCGCAGTCCTGGATGGTCCACTGTCAAAACAGAATGATATACTGAGTGGGCATCTGCAGAGATCTCTCTTGTGTTTGGTACTCTGAGTATTTTCATTCTTGGACTGCAGAACGGAAGAGAATATACACGTATGAAATCTGCAAACCTCTCAAAATTGAGAGGCACTGCATGTGTTGTGAAGATCAGGAATGCAATACAGAATGATTTTGGAGAATTGGAAAAATGGCTTGAAATGTAGGATGCAGTTCAATGGGACCAAGTGCAAAGCATCAAATTCAGGCTGGACTGATGAAGTACCCAAATCCATGATGGGGAGCAACTAGAAAGGCAGAAAAGGGACCTAGGCATTGTAACTTCTCACTAGCTAACCCCTAGTCAACAGTCTACTGTTTTTCCAAAACAGTCATAATGTTTTGCAAAAAGTAAACATCTGGAATGTATAAACAGGTGAGCCTGTGAGATACATGAAGTAATTTTCTGATTATTCTGAGAATTAGTAAAACCTCTTTTGAAGTTTGAACACTGCTCTTCAAGGAAGATGTGAACCAAGTGGAGAGAACTCAGAGGATAGCAGTGAAAAAAAATCAAGTCTAGAAAATTTGGTGCTCAGAGAAAAGTCAGGAGAAATTGGAGGTAGTCTGTCTGAAAGCAAATAAGAGTCTGCAGATGCATAAGGGAGGACAGGACTATGTGTGTAGTGGACAGGACAAGACAGATCTCAGATCAAATTTTCTAACAGTACTGAAGTAGCATACCTGTCAGGAATGTCACATTTTCCTGCACTGTGAGTGAAGATGGACTAGATGAACTTTCTGAAGCTGCTGCTTTTGATGATTTGCTATATCCCCATTCTGGTGTACTCTTTGAACAGGTGACTCTATTTATTTGAAGAGAGTAGTCATAAGATTACTGGGCAAGCAAGTTACACTAACTTGCTATGTTTTAATTTGTTTTGCCATCAGGTCAAACTGGGAGGAGAAGCCCCAAACTCCAGTGTAATCCACATAGCCAAGGGCAGCGATGGCAGCAGTAGCAGCTGGAAGAGTGTTGGTGGCAAGTGTGGAACCAAATGTCACCTTCTGGATTTTGCCAACTCTGAGCGGCCACTGGTGGTCAACTTTGGTTCAGCTACCTGACCACCATTCACAAGCCAGCTGTCAGCCTTCAGCAAGCTGGTGGAAGAGTTCTCTGGTGTGGCTGACTTTCTGTTGGTCTACATCGATGAGGCTCACCCGTCAGATGGCTGGGCTGCCCCTGGAATCTCTCCCTCTTCATTTGAAGTTAAGAAACACAGGAACCAGGAAGACCGATGCGCAGCTGCTCACCAGCTCCTAGAGCGCTTTTCCTTGCCACCTCAGTGCCAAGTGGTGGCTGACTGCATGGACAACAATGCCAATGTGGCCTACGGGGTTTCATTTGAGCGAGTATGCATTGTGCAGAGACAAAAAATCGCCTACCTGGGAGGCAAAGGCCCCTTTTTCTACAATCTGCAGGAGGTTCGGCTTTGGCTGGAACAAAACTTCAGCAAAAGATGAAATCCATTCTCTACAGAAGCTATGTCAACAGATGTGTCCCTTTAAGGTGATGTAAAAGGGAAAAAAAGAAAACATATGCTGGTTTGAATAAGGCCTTTCAGATGATTGCAGGAAAATACATTTGATAACAAGGTCAAATGAACGTTAACTAGGAAAAGAAAATAAAACAAAAAACTAACTCCACAGAAACATTATTATATGAAAAAAATCCCACTCCTGCTGTCGCTACGGGACAGAAGAGGTGAAGAAGCTTCTGCAAAAAGGTGCTGCTGGCGAGCAGGAAGAGTGGTGAGATAAGACCTGTCTCCCAGGAACCCAGCTTACGAAGTGTCAGCCCTGGGGTAAGCCAGAAGCGTTGCTGCGTGGAAGGCAATTCATGGAAAGGCAATGCTGTGCATTTCATCAGAAATGCTTCTTTACCCTCCTGCGGCCAATGCAAGAGACCTGGGAGGAGCCAGGGGGTTTGCAATTACTTTGCATAGAAATGCAGTGGAGTGTGGCAATTGTCCTCTCTCGTAGAGATTTTGGTGTTCAGAGACTACAGGAACCACCATGCAATGCATCGTGCAGGCAGACTGGCTGCTCAGATCAAGATGAAACATTGTATGCTGGTATTTGTACTCTCTATGGATGCCTCTGCACAGCATATTAACTATGTAATTCTGTCTATATGTCTGTATCCAGTATGCAGGCCTGTGCCTGCTGAGAAAGATGTTAAAATCTATGGAGTTGGACCGAAAAGACAAAGGTGATCAAATAAGCCCATTACAATTTGAAAACTGAAAAACCTGGACTATTTGTAACAAAGCAGCGAGAACCATCTAGAGCATGCATCACGAGACAAAACTCGGCTGATGCCAACCAACCCTCAGTTCTCAGAGCTGACAACACGCATTTATCAATATTCTCTGGTTCTCTTTGTTTCTTTACCCTCCTCGATCTCTTTCTCTCTAGCAATAGGCTTAAAGGTAATTTCATTTTTAGCTTTTTAAAAAATAACTTATTTCTGTCTTTTATTTTTATTTGAGATAATGACCTTACAGATGTATTTTGGGGATGGGGGAACTTATACACAACTTTACCTCATTGAAATGGAAACCTATCCTGTCATTTACCCTGTTAAATGTAGTCATGCTGATTTTTGCTACCTTAGATACCTGCAACTAGTTTATAGCTACATTAGTTTGTCTGGAAGTTAAGTTGTTTGCAGCCTCAGAACTGATTAGCTGCAGTTCCACTATCAGATGAGGTGACAGTCTGATTGTTTCACTCGTGTTGTCAAATGCCTTCCCAGAGAAACAGGGAGGACAAATCGTGTGAATTAATGTGAATAAGTGTAAAAGATGACAGAATTTTGATATGAATGGGTCTGAGGAATTATTAATTATGTTTAAAGAGATACTGTCAACTTAGAGCATACATTAAGTTTAGGTATTTCTAAAACTAAAATGATTTAATCAAGCCTGATGAAAAGGCAAGTTTACAATGAGCTAACCCATTAGAGCTGATAAATGAAAACCCATAGGGAGATGGACTATTCAAATTTTCTCTCAACTTTGGCAGAAACATGAAACAGATAAACACAGTAAGCGGCAAAAATCAAATTAGTTCTTTTAATTTCTCATCTTGCCAGTTGTCAGGGATATGATGTATTAATACTAACACAGGAAAGAACAGAAAATACATACATAAGTATTTTCATTTTCACATCCCATGTCCCACATTTTCATATCCCCCATTTTCATGTCATTTCATGTCCCTTTAATATTGTGTATTTCTTCTTGCTTGGCTGTTGGTCAACTTAGCCAATGTACAAGGCATTTGAAAATGTGTTTTCAAGCACGGTAATGACAGTAACATGAGTGCTTTCTCCCATATTCAGGTTCATGCTTTCCTTCCGTCTCACATTTTCCTCCACACACTGTTAAACATACACACATACTTACACAGTTGGTAATGTGTATCAGAGAAGGGTGTAAAGAATGGTCTTCAGACTTTCTGGTGAGCCCCACTTCTCAGAAGGCATGTATCCATGTGTGTGTGTGCATGTGTGTATATATGTATGTATACATTTATGTATGCATATATGTGTATATCATATATTTTTATGTATGTGTATATATATGCACGCACACATAAGTGGTGTCTAAAACCAATAATAATAATTATTCTGTCCTCCCATTCATTAATGTTACTGTAACTCATTACTTAGTGTGGAAGATTGTTATACATTTTCATGACTAACTGGGATACATAACTGAAATTTTTGAAACTAATATAGTAGAAACAGTAACATAGCCAAACTACATGGTTTATTTAATCCAGTGTCCTACCTCTGACTGTATCAGATGCTTCAGGGGAAGGTGCAATAATTTCTTCTGGAATTTTCATTAGCTTCAGCCCTTATTATTTTTGTCTTGTCTAATGTGATTGTTGATGTCTCATCATCCCTATAAGAGGCTGATTCTGAGTTTTGAGATCTAAATATTTCTTGAGGTGGGGAATACTAAAATCAAAAACCATCATGTTTAAGAACAAAGAAAAACAAATAAAACTGGGGTATTTTTCAGATTTAAATTGGCTGCTTTTCAATGTCATTCTCATCTCTTGCTCTTGTATGCTAAAACAGTATAAAGAGGAGAGATCCCAATTTTTCTTCTGTATGTCAGTGATTATATACTCTATATAGAAATTTACATACCTTTTGTTTGTTTCTTAAGCCAAATGATAATTCACATTCTTATACAGGTCCATTTTCTTTGCCTGTCTCTGAATCTCTTGTTTTTTCTACACTGTCTTTTTACTCGGGTAAGTAAAACTGTAGACATTAATACAAGTGAAAATATCTATTGATATACCCAGCACATTTTTTCCTTATATCCTATTCTTCAGTCATCTGAAACTTTGTTAATCCATAGCAACTCCATAGCCTTTGTAAAACTTAAACTGGTCTTTTCTTTCTCTCTTCTTTTCCCCATCATACAGTTGAAGTCTGAACTGTTTATCTGGGAAATGCTAGCCAAATGTTTAGCACAGCTGTTGAAACATACCTTTAGCTCAGAGGAGAGAGTCTGAGTTAGTAATTCAGTTAGTTAATACCCCTTTGCATATCTAAAGTTACAGCTATTTTTCAAGTCCATTTTCTCCTTTTGAATTTCCATTATTTTTTCTTGTTATTCATAGATGCCTGTTCATCACATAGTATAAAGGAATTATAAAATTGGCTCTTGTAAATGGGAAATCCACAAGGATTTTCCACAAGAAAAAATAAACAATAACTTCATTTCTTTCTTGGCAACATGAATGCATTACCATGCCCAAAACTTTAAGATGGTTCAGCCTCACTGATTATCAAGACAGAAATACATTTTGCAAATCCTTAAATTTCCCCAGAAATTTGTGGTCAGAATGCAGGGGAAGTATTTCAAAGAGAAATGGGCTTAGAGGAAAAAAAAAATATTTTTTAAGTGACTGATAGAAATACAAGCTCTTCATTTTTTTTTTGTTGACAAAATTAAAGCATTTTATAGAAAAAGGTTTTAAATTAAACTTCATGCATTGTTCTCAGTTAATGATAGAAGTGGCCATATGTCAGATACCCCAAATTATTGTAACAGTGGGTCCAGGCAGAAATTTTGCTACCTTGCTAGCATCATACTTCACAATTGGTCTAGTCTGCTGTGAGGCTGGATTTGCTTTTGTCTCTTATTCTCACTGTTTGAGGGCACTAAACCATATTACTTGAGGTGCTTCAGTGTGACATACATATTGAGCAATAGCTCACAAAATAGGTGCCTGAAAGTATTCTGGAAGGCTACTGTATATAATAGAGACCCCAATACTGTGTCTCAACATTATTATGGGAAACTTCCAGTACTTTTTGTGTCTCAACATTATTATGGGAAACTTCCAGTACTTTTTCATTTTGAGCAAGGTAAAAAGCTATTCTGGGCTATCATTCTACATTGTTCTGTGCTTAGCATTGTTATTTAGCACTGTATAAAATGAACGTAAAACATTTTGTACAGATGAAAACATTTTGCTTTTGCTTGTGTAGACAATGACAAAAATTTAAGGCAGAAGGAAAACATGCCCTGTCTATTAAAAAGAAAGAAACATATTACAAAATAAATTGTTGAACAACTGTCTGAACACTTTGAAAAACAAAATGCAATCATTCTTATGAAGGTGATCTTGGTGGGGAAACCCACAAAGCTTCTCAAAAAGGTATCATCAGTGCTATGCGTTCAGGTATGTCTGGGGAGGGAGGTTATGTTTCTGTATGTGTGAAAGTGGCTTTTCTGTGATGTGGAATGTAGGTTTGAGTTTTTAAGACTTTCATTCAGTACTATAACCAAAGCAATAAGAGGTATCAGGTAGGGAATACTGGCCAGTTTTGTTCAACTCTACACCATGTCTGTGCCGGATCCATATGCAGTGACCTTTGGGCCCAATTTGGAGTCTTCAGAGAAGAGAGATTAGGGTGAGACAATGAAGGCTTGTGTGCTTATGAAGATCGCTAACAAAAGAGTGATTAACTCAGTTGGCGTTCAGATGCCCTCACACTGGCATTCCTCTGTGCACCTTAGTGTTTCTGTATTTGAAAGAGGGGTCTCTTTGGGGCTGTTAATAAGATCGCCGGGGTGTAGATGCCTGTGTGTACTGACTATGTGTGTGTCATTGTTTAAATGTCAAAAATACACTTTGTAGGAGAGCCAGCAAAATTTTGTTACAATATGGTGCTCCATGAAATGTGCTTTCTAGATTTGTTTTTCTTGTATTATAATAAACAATAAAGGAAAATATACCTCTTCTGTGTCTTCTTATTCTAATATTGGTTATTAATACACAGTGGAATCTTGACATTAGACCAAAGAAACTTAAAACTGAATTTAATACAATAGCCTACACCACCCTGACTAGATCGTAAGCAATATGAGCAAACCTCTTTATAAATGGTGGGACTAATTTAATATCTGACTGCTACTCAACTTTTAAGAAAGGTAAGGGGGAGAGACTGAGAACTACAAGGACAGCAGTTGAGT